TTTGATTTTAATCTCCATCAAATAGGGATAAAATCACAATAAATTTGAATTTTGATAACATGCTAATTTTAAAAATTCTCTAACGATCGTACGCTAATTGAATCTACAAATTGTTTATATCATCTTAAAACTAATTTCGAGAATTATATTATGGACATATCAAATAGTCCAAACAGATATCGAAAATAGTTAAAAATACGTATTCCGTAAGTTTTAAAAAAAGACATCGAACTTGCATTTTTTTAAAATTTAATTATTTCATTAATATTTATTATTTTTGTGATACAAATTTTTCAATATAATTTTCATCATTTTATTACGAAATTTTATATAGAATATGACATCAAAAATTTTCGAAATTTTACATCCGAAAAAGTCATATCTCATGTAAATTTTCAGATGTAAAATAACACGAGGTATGATATTTTTGGACGTAAATTTTCGATTGTAAAATTTCTCTCAACTTCTTTGCAAATTTGATTGTACCCACCTAACTTTTAAGTTCTACGTCCGCCCCGCACATATGTCCATTACTTTTGAATAGGCAAAAATATTACAATCGTACAACAATTTTCCAAGATTTAGGGTGAAAGATGATTGAATTTGTTAAACAACTTTTCAAGTAATTTGTATTTGAATATAATTTTGGATATATGTGCAGCTTAATTTCATTCATAATTCATAATTATATACCTCACTACTTACGAGGTAAGCTTTTCTACTCAAATATGATTAACAATCATTGCTAAGGTTTGAGATTTACTTAATTGCCAAGAATAATTTGAATTATTATGTAAATCATGGTTGCTAAGGTTAAATTTAATTACACCGAGCCCGAGAATACTGGCTGGCCCAACGTGTCGAAAATTTTCAATTGTACCTCTAATCATAACTGTAAGATCGAGGATAGAAAATAAATCTCATTGCTAGCATCGGAGCGCGAAACTTAAGTCGAACTTTAAATTTTCTATGAACAAAACCCTACCAGGATTATCATTACGCCGGTATAGTCATATTGCATGTTAACATAGTTTCGATATATTGCATTACGACTCATAAGCCTACTATGAGTACAACACTCTCAGATGGTGTTCGATCTTGCTCCCTCATCCTTCCGTTCATCATGTCTTGCATCACAATGTACAATTTTTTATAGCATTGATAATATTGTGAAATAATTATCATTATTTTATGGGATTTCTATTCTGATAAAATTGGAGGTAAGGTTTTAAAAGTGATAATCATGCTGTTCCTAATAATCCCTGTTAAAGTTAATAATTAAAATACACTTTTTCTTATGCAATAATTTACTAAATAATCTCTTTTATGTCACAACTTGACAGAGAAATTCATGGCTGTGCACTGTTGAGAGTGAAGACAGCCACATTTTTAGTGGTTTATTTAAGAATCAATATTGTAATGATTAACCCACTTCATCATTCCTAAGATGGTTTAATTCAATGGGCTATAATTAACAAAATTGAATAATTAAGAGCTTTTAAGAAATTTTCTTTTATTTACACTATTGAGTTTTTCATAAATTTAGTCGAGACCCTTTTCAGTACTGTTCTTGTTGAGAAATTATGTAAGCGAATAGGAAATCAACACATGATGTGGCTCAATTTCCATTCAATCAATAGAATGATTAACTGACACCCCCGTTTGTTTCTGATTAAAATCAAATTTAAATTTAAGTTAAAATCAAACAATCAATATTAACTACATCTTTCATGGGTCCCACGACTTTTTAACCACACATTTCAAAAATTTCTATCACAATCTACTAAAAATCTAATTTTAATCTCCATCAAACACCCACTCAATTAGCTAATAATCGAAAAAGCTTTAGATGTATATGTTTTGTAATTTTTTCCGCGAGTCAAAAATTACAAAACCACGTACATTTAGCAAGAGATTCTCGTTGATTTAAGTATTGACAAATTTTGATGTCAACCAACCTAACATTTAGTGAGGGATTCTCGTAAAAAGAATTGAGTATTCAATATGTTATAGTTAGGTATAACTCCTATGGTTATAAATGAGTGGTGACCACTTGATGTGTAGTAGTTCTATTATGTTCAACCTCTTTTATTGTCGTCAAACCGAATTCAATTACAAGAAACTTTTAATAAAAAATTGTCATAGTAAAATGGTTTTAACCTTTTTATAATACTTGTACGTAGAACAAACTTTTAATAACAAAAATCGTCCATGTCAATTTTTTTAATTTTTTAGCGAGAGACCCTCATGGAAATGTATATCTCAAGCCAACTAGTAGGATGTCAAGCCATCAAGTAAAACTTGTGTTCACATATTCGAACATGGAGGGACACGATATTTTAACAAAATTGGACAGTGTCGTCATTACTTATTACGAATTGATACAATAATGGTTGACAAACAAGCACTTAATTGCCAAGAATAATTTGAATCATTATGTACATCATGGTTGCTAAGGTTAAATTTAATTACACCGAGCCCGAGAATACTGGCTGGCCCAACGTGTCGAGATTTTTCAATTGTACCTCTAATCATAACTGTAAGATCGAGGATGGAAGATAAATCTCATTACTAGCATCGGAGCGCGAAACTTAAGTCTAACTTCTCTAAGAACAAAACCCTAACAGGATTATCATTACTTTGGTATACTCATATTGCATGTTAACATAGTTTCGATATATTGCATTACGACTCATAAGCCTACTATGAGTACAACACTCTCAGATGGTGTTCGATCTTTGCTCCCTCATCCTTCCGCTCATCATGTCTTGCATCACAATGTACAATTTTTTATAGCATTGATAATATTGTGAAATAATTATCATTATTTTATGGGATTTCTAGTCTGATAAAATTGGAGATAAGGTTTTAAAAGTGATAATCATGCTGTTCCTAATAATCCCTGTTAAAGTTAATAATTAAAATACACTTTTTCTTATGCAATGATTTACTAAAATAATCTCTTTTTATGTCACAACTTGACAGAGAAATTCATGGCTGTGCA